ACTTCATTTCACATCCACAGTGGCAGAACTATGAAAATGTGTAATGTTTGCCACTTCTTTAAATGGTTGTCAGGCTAATCAGACAGGTTTAATCTGTATTTTAGATGAGAAAATGTCTTACAGTCCTGAAGTTTAGGAGAATAAGAGCATGAATTTTGGCTTGAGGGAGATTGATCTTATTTAACATTGATCTAAGCAGCTGTTTCTAGGTTTACAATATATTAAGAGAAGAAATAGAACAAACAGAGAATATAGTGGAGTCTTACACATCCTAGTTTCTGGGAGACTGAAAGGTGACATAAGGATAGCTATTAAATGTATGCTCCATCTGGAAGGAAGACAGAAAGGAATCTTAATAGAATAAAATTTGTGTTCCTGACCTAACATGAACTTTTGTGGTTTGTAAAGCAATTACATTAAAAGTTCTGTTTCCAAAATACATAAAGATTTGTTCATGAAGATACATCTTTGCTTAATCATCACTTATATTTATTCCCAATTTAGGCAGCTGAAAAGTGAAACAAGTCCATTTTTTAGCTACTTGAAAATTTTTTGTAGGGGTTATAAGGGCGAGGAGGTTTCTAAGGTAACCTACCAATAAATAAGTTTATTTCCAAAATAAGGAAAATTAAATTTCAACAACATTCAAGTTGTAACTTCTAGTAGGACAAAGTTGAAAAACAGTGTTTCGAGACTTAGCTGTAGCACATTTGCACTTGTTATCTGTATTGGTTTCTTGGAATGTTTTGAATAGGAGTATATTCCCTCCCCTTTTGTTCAACCTAAAAATATTACCTTGGAATAGGTGAATGAAAATATTTCTACAAGACCTTTTTAAGGTGTAAAAATGCAGTAATGTTTACATCAGTGATATCAGCTCAGGGTGTTTCTACATTTAGGTACCTCTGAACTTATTTTGTTCTGAAAAAAAAAAAAAGGAATCATAACCTGTTCATATCATTTCATGATTTTTAGATGATGCATGAATATTTATGTCTAGCAAAAAATATCTCATAATGAAAAGGAAGCTTGGGAATGCAAGGCTGAGTTTTTTCGATTGTAAAAAGTACCTGTAATTCATTATACCTGTAACTTGTGAGACCTGAAGCATCATCATTTACTTCTCTAATGCTCTAATTAAAATACTACATCAAAAAATATATTAATGGTTTTATTTTATATATATATTAATAGGTACAAATATTTGTAAGTCTCTGTCCATAAGGAAGAGTTTGAATGAAACACCTGTGTTTTATTTAGCGTTCATAGACGTGTCACAATGTAGGTGTTTTTCTGCTTCCTGGCATAGTACATTATTCCTCGTTCTCTTCAGTGTACTAAATATTTTTAGTAGATTTCAGTGACTTTGATCTGATAGAGGTCAGCTGCAGGTGCTTACAAACCAAGTGCATCAGATGCCCCTACTGCTTTCCATGTCCAAGTTGAGGTTCCTTAAGGAACCTGGCTTTTGACTTTTAAGAAATTCTGAATATCCACTTTCCAAAAGTCAGACCCTTAAGAAAATCTTAGTTTGTCCATCTCAGAATTTAAGCTGCTAAGGTCACAACTTACTCTTAAAACCTTATTTGTGTGTACTGGCCTAAGGTAATGTTTTGTATCTAGTTCCCCACCCCCTAGAAACATTAACTGAAAAGTTTTAGCCCATCTTCCTTTATCAGCTGAAGCAAATCTGACTGCTCTGTCCTTTGAATTACCCTGGCTCTTCCCCACAACGAG